ACGTGAGAACAACGTAAATAATTCATCGAACTAACAGTTGTCCAAGTGCCTGGTGATGGATCATACAATGCAGCGCTGCTTACAAATCCACTACCACTATCACCACCGCTAACCAATACTTTTCCATTAGTTAACATGACTGCTATGTGAGCACCTCGTAAACTACTCATAGATCCTGTAGTTGTCCAAGTACCCGATGATGAATTATATAATTCAGCAGTAGTTAAAAAGTTAGCACCATTATTTCCAGCGCTAATTAATACATTTCCATTTGTTAATACCGTTGCTGTGTGAAGTTTTCGTAATGTACTCATCGCGTTAGTAGCCGCCCAGATACCTGTTGCTGGATTATATAATTCAGCACTATTTAAAACAGCACTATTAACTCCACCAGTAACTAGTACTATTCCACTTGTTAATACAGATGCGGTGTGATAGTTTCTTGTAGTACTCATTGCACCTGTGGCAGACCATACTAGATGAAAAAGATAAATGTGAGAAAAATATATTTAATTTACTTTTAACATAAGTAATATTTTAGGCATTTCAAAGTCACATTTAGAGCACGTCGGATAAGACTCAAAAGCCCGAGAAATTCATCTTTGAGGGTGTGGGCGCGATTAAATCGTATCTATCCTAACCTCATCCACACCTCCGTCCCTCAAGAACAGTAATAAAAAACACTTCTAATTTAGTCGATCGCTTACCCCGTATCGTTGCTGTTGTTGATGTTGTTGTCGATGATGTTGATGATGAAGTTGTTGATGATGTTGTTGATGATGATGATGTTGACGATGATGATGAGGTTGTTGATGATGTTGTCGATGAAGTTGTTGATGATGTTGTTGTTGATGATGAAGTTGTTGATGATGATGTTGACGATGATGATGAGGTTGTTGATGATGTTGTTGATGATGTTGATGATGATGAAGTTGTTGATGATGTTGCTGTTGATGCAGTTGTTGTTGTGCTGTATATATATTTGAATAATAACGTTAGAAGTAAATAATTACTTATTATGGCATTTGCACATAGAAACGAATTCAATTATTAGTAACAGTTAAGAGCCATTGTTTTTCTTTCTCTTATACTGTAGTGGTATGTAGGAAATGTAAAATTTAGTGATTAATAATATTTTATGTTACATTAACGAAATGAACAAGATGTGGGTGTAAGATGACGACAATATCCACACCTACATCCTCAAGATAGTTGCACTTTTCAGAATCTGTTTTCCTATTTCCAATAATAGAATAGTGAATTCGGATTCAGCATGAATGAAAAAACTACTCTATCAATGATTCTACTGCGTTCTTTTTCAATACTTTTAGTCGAGTGAATGCAGTTTGTAATATATTGAGATTAAAAAAGAATATGATTCAAACTTACGCGGATGTTGTTGTACTAGTAGTCATTGCTAAAATAAAAGAATAAATGTGTTAGATTTTTTGTATGAAATATATACTAATGAGAATACATAAGATTCTTACAGATACTTCATAAGAATTGAATAATAAATCAAAAGAAAATATTTTAACAAAACGACAATTTTGAATTGTATTTTTTTTATAATTCTATTCAATTCGATATGGTTTCTAATAAAAACTAATTAAATTAAACTATTCTTTACTCGACGAAGAATAATCATAAAGAGAGCTGTTTAAACTTGAAAATTTTTATACACTTTTGCGGGTCATATGTTATTCACTTTACAGCCAATAATATTTATTTTTTGTGTGTTTTTGTTTTCTGATTAACTTTTTCCAGTGTTTTCGTTCAAATAGTTCTATGTCGATATTTGATTAGCTATCGAATTTTATATTACTTACGAGCTGATAATTGTCTATTATCAACAGCAATCATAGTAATAATATTTGCTTGTGTAACCAGACTACCATATTGACTTGGAATATCAACAAAGAGTTCACATTGATTATTGGATTGATCATACGTAAGCGTACGACAATTGATATTAACTAAACACGCAATTTCACAGGCTCTCAAGTTCAATGCAAAATTGGTAGTAGAAGATGAACAACTAGGATCAGTACATTGATATTGAATATTGTTCAATTTAGTTAATAATAATGAACGTATATCTTGTGATATTGTTTGGGTAATAATGATAGAAAAAAGAAATAATACCATTGTGTTTCTCATGTTGAATGAAAGTTAACTGTTAAACAAATGGATGAGTGTCTAAAAAAAAAAGAGAGCAATATATAAACTATATTTTCTTTTGATTACAGCGCACTCAGTAAAAAGTAGGAGGAAACATATTTCTTCCTTTCTTTTTTAGAATGCTGATATTTGATTATTAGTTTTCAGCACTATCTTAAATAGGTTTTTTTCTTTGACAATAGATGAAAACTGCCGGATCTAAGAAAAACTACAAAATCAATTTTGTTGCTTTTTATTTGATAAGAAAGCTCAATTCTCTTTTGATAATTACAAATACTTTAAAGATTGAAATGAGACAATATCATTGATTAATATTCATAAAAAAGCAATTCAATCTCATAAATGGCAAATTATTTTTTTTTCTTCGTATTTAATTTCATAAGTTGTTTTTCTAAAAAATGTTCTACTTAACAACCTTGCTGTTTTTTCCCCAAACAACTGTGATTGAATACTTCATCTCTGAAGACACTCCATTTTTTATATTTAACAAAGAAAAGATAATAGGAAGAAGTAAAAGAGACTTTTTTTTATCAAGAGTTCATCTGTTTCTGTTAATACTATATGATTCAAAGAGATGCTTTTGATTTCTTCTTGTTGTCTATTAAAAATATTGATAAAAAAAGTGTTGGATGATTAGAGTTCATAGTCTATTGTCAAAGAATTACAACTGTTTTACTAAATTGTCGATCCATTGTCAGAAATTGTTCATCAAAACTAATTAATTCGCGTTTTTATCGTCTCTATTCTAATTATCTGTATTTGTTTTTTCTTTTCTTTTACGTATCACCATTTTAGTAGCAGATACATCTTGCCTAAATCATACTTGATAAGAGCTTCTTTTTTTTAATATTTTTCTTCATTTCAGTTGCAGATACGGGTGAGAATGAAAGTGTAGTCTTTATCTCTCATCTACATCCACACCCTCAAGCCTAACATATTATCAACAAGAATGTTCATGTACTACCTAACTGTGAGCAAAATGGAAAACAATAGAATAATCCGCCTTTTTTCGTTATTATTATTATTAGTTTTATAATATTTCCCGAGTGATTTGTAATAATATTGAAATAATAATCAAATGATATTCATGAAAAAATAATAGTCGTTGAGAACTACTTCGTGGGGATGTATTTGTAGTCGATGTTGTTGATGTTGTTGTTGTTGTACTACTGCTAGTTGTTGTGGTTTGAGTAGTAGTACTAGTTGTTACAGTTGTAGTAGTAGTAGTAGTGGCAGTAGTTGTTGTGGTCGAAGTAGTTGTAGTTGTTGGAGAAATAATATCACATGATGCTACTTCAATATCATCAAGAGCAACTGATACTGCTACTGGTTCTCTTTGATAGATTTGAAAATAGAATGTTTCCATACACAAAACATTTGGTGTAGGCAAAATAACTACTTGCCAACCTTTACTATCATCTAATGATCGAGACCACATCTGTGTACCCAAACATCCACCTGTTACTAAACCTAACTGTGTTCCATTTTTATTATCTATTGATGATTTAACATAATAGGCGAATTTAATACACATGCCTGAATTGATTTCTACTGATTTTGAAGAAAGAACATTACCAAAATCTCCACTAGTAAAAGGTAAATGTCGATCCCAATAGATAAAACCACCTGTTGTTGAATTATTTGTATGATCTTGAAGTGGACCCAAATCTCGATTAGGTACTGTTTCACCAGTAACTACAGTAAAATTATATGAAGGATAAGGATATCTAACGCTATTTTCCATATCACACATTGTTAAATTATCAAAATCACATGAAAACGAAAGAAAAGCACCGTCGTCTTGGAATATCGAAGATGAATAATCACAAGATGTTATTGATATATTATCAATTGCAAATGAACTTGCATAAGTATTTGAATTATCTACACGAAATAGTAATGAATAATCACCAACAGGTAAATTCACAATACTCCAAGTCCTGTATAAATAGAAACTTATATTTCAATTTTTAATTCTATAACAAAAAATACTTACCATTTATTACTTGTATATCTAAATAAAGTATATATACATATATAAATGTTATCTTTATTTTTATTGTAACTCACATATATTGACTGCGAACTGGTGGCCACACTACTTGTATCGTTTCAGGTGAATCTAATATCCATGCATAGACTTTCAAATGACTAGCATACGGTTGTCCATAAGCATAGTATTGAAAATTGAAACAAAATGATTCATCCGTAGTAATATTAAATGATGTTCGAAGTGCAAAATAACCAACATTACCTTTTGCAATTATCTTTGAATTTGGTACTAATGCATAATGTCCTGATTGATTATTAAATGTAAAATCAACAGAAGGTGCTGCACTTTCGATTTTAACAGCATCATCGGCTTTCATTATTGACCATTCATATGGATAATTTGGTAATGAAAAAAAGTTTTCTGTACATGAAGACTCAAAATCACATTCATATAGAATCTTCGGTGGTAATGGTTGCGGTCCATCACAATAATCAACAGACAAATCATCAAATGCTAAAGGAACAATTGATGTATTCAATCGAATAACTATTTTAACTTTTTCTGATGGTAATGTTATATTAATAAATGTCCAATCATCAATCAATGGATCTTTACCAGGTATTGATGCTACAATTCGTGTTAATTGTTCATCATCACCTTGTACTAATTGAATACTAAATGGAAGATTAGATTCAGGTGTATAATACCACATATGAAAACATATAGCACGATCCATTGATGGTTCTATCCAATCTTTTGTTTTAATTTTAGCATTTATATCATAAAATGGTGGTGAACTTTTTGGACTATAGAATAAATAATGGCCAGCACTCGTATTTAATGTATGATCATGATCAATAGATTCAGGATGAAGACCATCAGTTAAACCCCAATTTGTATCAATATCAAAATCATTACAAATTGTTTCGAAATCACACAGAAAAATAGCTGTTTGACTGAAGAATACATGTCCAAATAGAATAAAAAAAATTAATAACATGTTGTTTGTTGTCATTATTTTCAGGTAGTTATTTATATAGATATATATATAAGTCAATTCTTACATACATGTTGTGCAAGAACATCTCTTTATATACGCAAAATTATAGTGTAAGAATAAAAGATAAGAATAAAACATGCTATGTTTTAGTTATTCTACTGACTTCGCTTTATGCATATTGTTAACATTAACTGAATCATCGTTTAGATTTCTACTTCATTGTTGTTTAGTAAATATGATTTGACAATTTTAAGAAGGGTGGGTGTGTCCTCTCTACTGGCACCCACTCATTCACACCCTCAAATATATATATATATATATTTTTCATCAGTAGTAGTGGGTTATTTATTTTAAAACGAATAATAATGTTAATAGAACTAAGAGTTAATTTTTACAGCAATCTGATCCAATATTAGTTGCATACGAGGATCAATAATGATTGCTGGATTCGTTTGGATTCGATTCATAACATAAGCAAAAGTAAGATTCTTCGAGGGTGCGGCAAAACCAATACTTCCACCAGCTCCTAAAAATGTTCAAAAAATAAATTATGTTGTTAGAAATATAATCATCGCTTTTCTTTCTTACCATGATGGCCAAATACATCTGGACCATAAGCAGGAAGAGCGTAATCATAGCGATGAAAACCCATGGCAAATACCGAATAATATTGAAATACCAGATCTATCTCATTTGCAGGTGTATTTGACTTGATTGCACGTCTCATAAATTCATCCTCTATCAATCGTTGTCCGAATTTATTCTTAACATTTCCAATGAAAGCTGCATAGAGTCGCGCTATCGACCAGGCAGTTGACATTCCAATAGCATTTGGTATTTCTGCTTGATGTATCTTAGGATCATTCCATATTTCAAAATAAGTCAACATTGACTCGTTGAGTATGTTTTTGATATCTAATTGTGGAACAACTGGTGATACGCGATACTGCATGTCAGGTGGTAAACCAATGTGAAATTCTGTTTGTGTTGGAGTTGTTATTTCATCTTTGACAAATTGTCCAAATGATCGTTTTTTTGGATCCACACGACGAACAAGTTCACCAGCTAACCAACCATAAGTTACTGAATGATAACCATGAGTAGTTCCTGGTACCCATAATGGTTGTTGTTCTTCTAATTCATGAATCATTGCTGTCCATTTGGTATATTGATCAACTGGAGATAATACATATGGAAGTCCAGCACGATGAGATAGTATATCGGCTACTGTTGTATTTTCTTTTCCATTTTGTCCATATTCTGGCCAATATTTAGTTACTAATGCTGAATAATCGAGTAAACCTCGTTGCACACAAATTGCAACAGCCATAGCTACAATACCTTTTGTCGTAGAAAATACCAACTGTAATGTATCATTGTCGTAAGGTTTAATTTGTGATTCATCAAACCATCCACCAATAAGATCCACCACGGGTTTGCCTTGATAATAAACTGCTATAGATGCACCTAAATCTTTTTCTTTTATAAAATTTTCCAAAAATAAATCACGTACAAATTCCCATCCAAAAGCAGTTGTTCCAACGATATTATAATCAGTAAAATCGTTACAAAATATTACTGTGAAAGATACAATTAGAATCGATATTGAATAGATCATTGTTTGAATGTGAATTAGATCAAAAAAGAAATATATTCATCTCGCACTAAGCATACGGATTAGAGATGATTTTTCTATATAAATATCACACAGAACACGAAAAAAAGAGTATTATATCAATGGTAAATATTAAACAATAATATTGATATTGTACTTTTGAAAACAGATTCAAGGAAAATGTCGTTATTATTGCGTCGATTTCTAATAGAAGAACTAGTAGTGTTGATGATATTACACTTTATTGTGTTTCTCATTATTTGGGTTTGGGTCTGTGTGAGTCTAGGCATACAATTGAACTCTTATCCACACCCACCTATACACTCAAGAGCCACCCGTCTACCCTACCCACATCCACACCTATACTCGAT